TGAAATCGGCAATGACTTAGTTGCCAACCTAATATATTCTTATACAATATTTATTTATTTCAAATGGCAGACTTTATGCTACTTTAGCTGACTTCGGGTTTCACAGAGGGGAGGAACATCAAAGTGAAAAAAAAGTGGAGAGGGGAACAGAAGAGTTATTCAAAGCTGTAAAAGAGACAGGCAGGCACTAAGGTAGAGAAAAGGTAAGATGGGTACTGTGAAAGCGGTCGAATATGACATACAGTGGGGTGATGGTAGTTTGAAGTCAGAAGTCAACTGCCGATTAATAGACAATTTTGCCGCATGAGAATACGTTGCCCGGGGTGCTCCACGGGGAGGTAAATCTATCGCAAATCCCTTCAAATGCAATATTAATATTATTATTATTTCAAATGGTAGGCTTTAAGATATTCATCATTTGCCACTTAGTTGACTGTGCCTTTAAAAGGGGGAGGAGCATATATATAGGCTTTTGAATAGTTAACATTATCCCGTTATTTGACTTCTGGTTTCCCAGTATCTTGAGGTCTCTACCGTTATCTGTAGGGCTGGACACCGAATCAGGTGGGTCTTCTCCATTTCCTTCTGTAGATTACATAGGAGGCATGTCGATTGAGCTTATACGCCTATTCTGTAGAGGTGCTTCGTCAGTCAACCGTGCCCGGTACGCAGTCTAAACTTTGCAACAGCTTCGTTTCTTGGCCAGTCGGACATGTCGGAGACTGCCACTGTCCACAACTCCTTCATCCGAGTTTTAAGATTGTTGCTTCTTGAAGTCTTGAATTCTCTCCTAATTAGGGTCTTCATTGTGTGGAAAGACATTGGCCGGTCGATGGTTACGAAATTGTGGTCCCCTTATTAGCAAATGTACCAGAGGGCTCATTGCCTACACTTCCACAGTTCCCGGAAATCCTTTATAGAACTAATGTTTTATTTGCTCTCTCACTAACTGATACAGTTTTACATTCGTGTATCACTGCTGTTTGGGGGGGGGGGGGGGGGTTCTCCGTTTCCAAATAGAATTTATTGCTGACTCCGAGTTCGAAAGAAGTACTGATTTGGTGAATTTTGTATCCAGGCAGCACAATTGGTCTAATGCTATCTTAATAACCTCTATTTCTCCTTAGAATGCGGATCTATTTTGTCACGCTGCTGCGTAGAAAGAGAAGAGTTCAGAGTAAAAACCTGTACTAACGCTTGCTTGATTTTCCATATATGTCCTGTCAGTGAAGACTTGGAGCCATTGATCTGCAGGATAGTGTACATTGATTGTCTTAAGGGTCAGTGAGCGCATTTGATCTGGAGGGGTATCTTCATCCCTGAAAAGGCCATATATCTGACTTTACATGATCTTGTCCAATGAATGCCTTTAACCAGTTTAGCATATCATGTTTTATACCAATCGTCGCCAATTTTAGAATTAAGTTCCCTTTCCATACCAGGTCATATGCTGATTTGAAATCGATGAATACAGCCGTGGAAGTAAATCTTGCATCAAAGGCATCTTTGATATATTGGAAGAGAGCGGCTACTAGTTGGTTTGTTGATATTTGTTGCTTAAAACCTGCCATTTGACCACTAATACGGCTTCTCTAAGTAGCTTTCTAATAGGGGTTACCTAGGGCATGTTGCTAGTTTCCCACGGCTAAAGCATTGCCCAATTGCTTAAATCAGGACCCGCAGTTTCAATTGTGGTATCTTAATAACAAAACTAAACTGACTTAGATCAAAGTTAAATGATTGGCTGTCCGGTTGGTCAGTAGCTGCAGAGGTGGTGTGATTCCACTCCTGGTAAAAGAAGAAAGAGAATAATCGATAGATCAGTACACCTTAACCGCATTCAATTCAATACAATCTCCGGTAAATAGCCTTCAAGATTTAGTCTGGGGGAAACAGAATGACAAAATTGTACACCTACATAACCTGATTAGTCACCAGGGTTTATTTTTAAAAGCACGTGTTACCAAGATACCTCATCTACAAGCATAATTTAATTAGAGTGCCTGTTCACTACCTAACCAAGAAGCTTCAATTCTTTTTATTTCCAACTTAAGAAAACATCAACCTGATTAAAATTTATCTCACCAGTTCACCCAAATAAGCCACTTTTTTCTTTAACCTAGGTGCCAATTAGCCAGCTTATCCCTAGCGAAGTTTACAAATCCCATGCTACTTAAATAGATTTCAGGAAATAGAGGCCAATATATAGGTTCGATTGGTATGCTTTACTGCACATGATAAATTATAAAGAAAGTATGGAAAACCGAGACAATTACAATTAAGTCCGATGCACTATTTACATGATTAGACGGAGAAATGATAGGTAGTGGCGAGTTCATTTTCTTGGTCTCAAGTTCCTTCTAGGTCGGGGAGTCGGTCCAGCACTTCCGTCGATATCAATAAATTTGACAGTCTCGGATAGAGGTGCTAGTTTTCGAAATCCACCTGAAGTTCTATCGCTCTCACCGCATTTACTTCCAGTTTCTCCTGCTACTGTTGAATGTTTTTTCTTAGTTACTCCACGTCCTCGACGACGTGTCTTATTCGTCGTTTTCTCCTCTGGTTCTTCGTTCTCTGTTTCCTCTTCAGTCGTCGTCACTGATTGAAGGCCAGTTACGGTTGCAGTCACTGGTGCCGCTAATGAACCAGAAGCGGAACCTGAGATTTGAATGTTAGTGAGATCTCTAGCGAGCCGCTCACTCCATGCATTTTCTTCTTCACTGTCATCAAACTGAGGAGCAGTATTCAAAATTTCAACAGGCAATTGAGAGACTGTCTGTTTTCTCCCCCTAGCTCTTCCTCCTCTTGATGTTGTGACACTAGTGGTTTTTCTGTTGACAGCAGGGCCTTTCACTTGACGACCACGACCACGTGGAGCACGTTTAGGCTGGGAATCCTGAGGAGCTGACTCATGGCTTGAACTAGGATCCGCCTTAGATGATTGACATTGGTCTTCTGTTTGAACTTCAGCATCGACCATCGTCTCAGATTTCTGCTCATGCGTTTCAGTCTCCTCCTGAGAAAAAGAAAAACTTGTCTTTAAGATCGAAGAAAGTGCTGGCTCTACACTTAACGAAAGAAGCGTTTCACTCATTCAATACTGCCGATTGTTGGCTTCCTTTACCATTCCATTTTCCCGCATATGCACTTTTTTATTAGGGAGGAACTGATACTCCTTGCAAGCCTTCGGGAAGACCATTGGTTCGGAAAAGAAATAGATAGCAGAGTTCTACCGAGATTCGGGACTACTTTATACTCTGACAATACACTCACCGTTACATCACCAATTAAGAAGACTGATCAATTACCTTTTAGACTCTGTTCCATCGTGTTCTTTAGATTCTCCAATTACAAGCCTTTGAACAACTGTAAATTAAATTTGCTGCCACTAGTCCTTCTATATACAACAGAAACTGAACTTTGAATAAGCTCACCCCATGATGCAGTGGACAACATGCACGCTTATCAAGTCAAATGATAACAATTTGACGCATCCGGTAACGTAAACGACCATTCGAACTGGTCCGTTTCAACAAGAGCTAATTATAAGTCATGTACCGCAAGCACTTGGAGGATTTAAATACATTATGCATCATAAAAGTTGACATTAATGAACTAAGGACCTACAATGCGTTTTTGGAGTTGTTCATAAACACTAAGTTGACTCTGCAGATCATCCAACTTGGATAGTGCTTCGTTGTAAGCAGAACGAACTTGGCATAACTCTACATTCAGCGAAGAGCACCGCGATTCCATTTCAGCCAGAGCTTCTTGTTTTTCAGACTCAATTTCGTGGGATAAAAAGGAGTTCATTCGGACAACAGTATTTCGACCATCCCTTCCAATCGACTAAAATAAAAGTAGAAAGATCTTTACTTTCATTAGAGCCGATAATGACTTAATACAACTCGAACAATAAACTAATGCTCAACAATCGGTAGGAAATTGCTCTCCGTTTAAAGCAAAACGTACCTCGATTTCTTCAGGCATCTCTTTCTTCACCACAACAGCCTCTTTTCCTTGTTGCCTGACACTCAGAGAATTGGAGTTATCGAAATCAGCCCTCAGTTGAGCGAGTTGTGAAAGCAGTTGTTGATTTTCAGCTCTCAGATCGGTGGCACTTGCTGTTTCACTTTTTTGCTTTCCCGCAAATACCACGGTCTCTGGAGTCGGTGGGATTATATCTGCTTCATTCGACTGTAAGACAAAAACAAATGAAGTCAAGCTCACTGCTGATAGGATTTAAGTAGGATGCGAAACATACGCAACAAACAGGAGACAGGAGAGGGGGGAATACGTTTGGAAGACGAGGTGAGTTTCGATTCACCGTCATTTGAGATGAGTCTAAATCACTTCCACGCTGAAAAAAAGAGAATCGTATAAAACTAAAAAGGCTCTGAGAGCGAGAGAAGCAGTGCTTGAAGTAAAATACCTCAATAAGAGGTGGGAAAACGTCAGTCTGGCCATTCATAACTAGCCTCGTCCTCTATAACGAGAGAGTCAGAATAAGAAAAGGTTGACGATTGAACTACTGAATTATAAGTAAGTGACATACAGCGATTTGGGCGTAGAATTGAGCACGGCGCAAGTCAACTTGAAGAGCATCCCGTTGTTCAGATAGGGCTACCATTGCTTCTGACTGTTCAGCCAAATCTGCTTTTGCTTCCTCTAACTTCGATCGAAGTTCCGCATTCTCTGCTGTGAGCTCTAGTAGAGATGAAAATGAAGACTTGTCATACGAAACAGAAACTGATAGAGGCGAAATAACTTTCAAGAGAAGTTAAAACAGGTACAGCGTAGGCCATCCAATTGAGCAATTTGAAAAGTAATCTTTTTGAAATAACCAAAATCCATGTAAATAAAAACATTGCCTCAAACATGGATGGCCCAAATACTCAGATAGCTTAGGTGCCACTTTGATGAAAGGGAAAAACCTTTATGGGGGCTTTATGATCATCGTCGTGACAAGAGAAAATGTGTTTAGGCTAGTTAAGAAGAGTAGAGCAGAGTACAAGCCCCGTGTGCAAAACCGCGAATAGAAATGTCTACAACAAAGGCGGCTACGAGTACAAAAGCAGCTCAAAAAAGTGAAGAAACGACATCGAGTTTGAGCTATTTAAACAAGATAAGGAAAGTTAACCCCTATTCAGAATAGTTGATATCCTCAGAGATACTAAACGCATTTATTTCTTTTCAAGGCATTATGTGAAAACAAGTCGCTGATAACCAATTTCATCCCTAGCGTAAAGTAAACAATTTTATTTTAATAATCGTCCCTACCGTTGAGGGGAGACCTTTTAAAGCTCTCATTTTAAGCGAAAGAAGTAATTAAATTTAATTAAAAGCATACGCCTATTGCGCATCTTCATTTTAATATACAAAATCTGCCAACATCGGCAGACGCAAACGAACTTTAATGAAAATACACCCCACTACAACATCAATCTCTAATTTACAAATGTGATACAGATATAAAACCATTAAAGAGGCTATACCGCCTCATTCAATTGAACAACTGGAGTTGTATAGGTGCCGATGAAGTATATGAGGTAATAAATAGAAACAAAACTTGCTGGGACACGAAGGGCATTCATCGTCGACCGCATTGGTGTCTCCTTCATCGGCATCCATTTCATACACATCCTCTGCAACCCGACGAGTTTTGGCCATTGGTTTTCTAGAAGATGGCGAAATTCGTTCCTGCGTAAGCGTTCGCCTTCTTTGTCGATAAAGTTTACTCTCCAGAATTCGCAACTTCTCTTCATAATCACGCTCCTGCTTTGCCAATAGGGATCTAAAGAAAAAAGTATGAATAAAGTCCGATTTATCAATGGACGTGGATTCACCTAAACAGAATTTAGCCGACGAATGTATAACAAAGACTAATAATATAAAGGTTGTCAGCACTAATTGGATGGCCACCTGTGTGTTCCAAACCATTCATTTCCATTATCTGTATGTTAACCAATCACGGGCGTCGCTGATTTAGCAACGCAGATGGCCGAAGTGCAATCATAAACGACCGAAAGAACATAATAATTCAATCACACTACCGAAACACATTCGGTGAGCCATAATTCCAAAGCCCATATAAGACACCTTCCCAAGTTCATTACGAGATGCATTTGCAAGACGTGAATTGATAGACCGTATGTACGTCAAGGACATTTTTATTCCACCGCTTCTCCTGTTGGTCAGAATTAACCAGAGCGGTTGACCACACGCATAACCGAGTGCCTACAGGTGGTATTCGATCTAATGACCTCTAACTTGTCAGATATGCACCGTGGGGTCTCTATTTACAAACTCGAACACCGACACCACTTAAATAGCAGGGCTAAATCAGTCCAGTTGGCTATTTCGCTCATGGGATGTGAACCAATAGCTATTAAGCACGTAACTTCGGAATTCATAGAAGAGTGGAATATGCTAAAGTACATTAACAAAAATAAACCGTTTCCCCATACCTTCACATTGCCTCATACTAGCCTCTTGATAATTGTTGACAGATGTGCATACTATCTCATCTAATAAGCTAAAGGCAAGTAGTATTGGTAGATTCCCTCTCAATAAAATCTATTAGCCTCACCACATTATATGGAACTTAGGAAACTAATTAACGAAAGTCATCGGAGAACAAACACCCGTGTCTTATCATAAACAGAAACTAACTCGTATTGTTCCTCCATTCGCAGTAGTTCATCACCATAGTTTTTCGTAAGTCGCGCATTGGCTTCAGCCCTAGCAGCCTCTACTTCCGCAGGAAGCGTGTCAGCCAAGGCGGAGACTACTTCCAGCACGACAGAAATAAGAGCCTCCCGAGAAAGGCCAGAGAGATCCGACTCAATGTCCTCCATCCATTCAAAGTGAGCGAGGGAGCCCAGGCGATCGCCAGCGGGCTTTCGTACGAGTGTGGCAGGCTCTTCGGTATCGCAATCAGTACTTTTATTAACTAATGGTGAGGAAAATATGGGAGAAACAGCGATGGGTAGAGTTGACATTCGTGAACTTGTGTTGACCGGAGCGGATCCACTTGCCTTGCGTCCAATTAGACTACTTGAACAACTGAAAGGAAACGAAACAACGAGGACTTTAGAGGTAATAGGCGACTGCAAGCAATAACAACAACGACACAAGCGCATGATGAAATACATAAAGGTTTGGAAAGAACAAGAGATTGGCTTATAAGTGCATATTCTAAAAGAAAACTGAATCAGAAGCATGATGCGCCAGTCTATCATCTAAATCTACCGGAAAAGGAGAAGGCTTTCAGATCGATAAACTAAAAACAAACACCAATGTCAAGCATACAACAATAATCGTAAAATAACTGTCCTTTTCTGTCTTTTAAAATTAACGTGTTTAATGGCCCCTTATACTTGAAAATAGCATACAAGTGGATAAAACAGCTTTAACTAAGCTACATTTCCTATATTTTGGATCAGAATGTTTCAATTTAACTAAATTTCCCCGAATCAGGGAAAATTGTGGGTTTAGCATAGCTAGGCCTAATAATCATCCTTAACATGAGCATTGCGTTTAAACTGAGGCGACTATTGTGAACTATTGTGGTTTAATAAATGAATTGATAGTACTAAATTTGTGAAAAAAAATGTTAAGAATTGGACATTCATCTTAGATGACATTATGCATTAAGCACATATAAAACAATCACTATGTTATATTTATTACGCTTGAAATCTAGCAGTTCTGCTAAAGAACATCTAACCCTTAAGTTGAAATAGGCTATGGCTTAATTACTTAAACAGCTTAGTAGTATAAAAAAACCAAGTAATCGGGCAACAGTCCATTTTCATATTACCCAGAGAGCCTTGGCTTTATTAATAACTTTGTTTTTCTCAATGTTGCTTAGAATAAAAATATCTAAGGTCATACCGTAGCTCAAAGCCCTTTTTCAACAAGTGTGCCCTCAGTTGTTTTTCAATAGCAGCTGTCGCGGCGGCCGTAGAATCCATTCCAGGTACAATTATGGTGTCTGGATCAAGCTCGGAGGGCCTTGTACTAAAATCATCTCCACCCTCTTCCAACTCATCTGCAACCTCAGGAATGACAATGGGTGGAGAAGGCTCTTCAGCTTGAGGTAAAACGACCTGCGAGGCTAGAGCTGAGAACTTTAGAGCATGGAGAGTTTCATCTACTAGCTCAACACAAGGCGCTGCATTAACCAAAAGGCAAGCCTTGCTGCTCGCTACCCCCAAGCCGGGAGGGGAGAAAAAATTAGCAAACAGTCGAGTAAGTCGGGATTCACGGTAGGGAACAACCGGGTAACAGGCGGAAGGAGCTCCAGGTCGATTTCGACCACCAAGAGTACGCAAAGCTGTAATGCATTTGCCCAAAGCGAGGAGGGAAGTATTGATCGAGTTGGCTTCACGTAGACGACAGGAGTTATTGGTGGTCTCCGCCTTGACACAACGTTCACTGCCCGCGAGATCGCAGAAAACGAGTTCACTGCAAGAGCCCAGAGATGCCATGCGGAAGTCGATGTTATTAGCATTTCCACGAGTGGAAACACGGAGGGCTCGAAGAGAGAAGATGGCATGGGAGCGGGAGGAAGCTGTGTTGAGACGAGTTGCACCGACGGCCTGGCAACGGCGGCCAACATGAAGCAGAGCAATGGCTTCAGCAGATGAGCTTACAGGATACCAGCGCACTCCTATCAAGGAGAGTACAACATGACGAAACACTAACTCATTCATACATCTTAAGAACGTTTAAGGCAATCGATCTCAATAAAAGCAACCACAGAGAGACGAGATTTAATTTGGAATAAACTAGTTGACATTTCATTGATTATCAACATCTGTAGGATTTATTTACAGCGATCATTATTACGTGAATAACAGTAGTCTGGAAAATATTACGATTTAAATACCCAGAACAGCGGGAAATAGGCGTTCGTTAGCGAAAATTTTTCCCAAAGTGGCATACCGTTCAATCACGCCCAAATACAGCGGAAAATCTTCAGAATATTGAAAGAAATTTGAAATCTGGGTAAAAATACTGCGAACCATACAACCTGACAAAGCAAGATTTCCTAGTAAATAAAAAGTAAAATGTAAATTTCAGCCATTTCAATATTTGTTCGATATGTTCCAAGCCTCATAATGATGATCAATTGTTATTTTACTACCAGAACTGTGTCCATGCATTATTAAATGTACGTAAGCTAAAAGCACAACTAACTTCTTATAGCTAGAATCATACTAAATCAATTCTTTGCATTTATTAACATCAATGACGACAAAATGTGTCTCAAAGGGAAACCGGCCGTATATTACTAGTGTCACAAATGGAAGTCGAGAAAAGGTGCATTTCCACCATAGTTTACAGAGAATTAAACGCCTGCGAAAATCCAACTTAATATACTTAAATAAGCCATACGAACAACTTTGATCACCTCACACCCAATCACCCTAGAACAGCTGACCACAACGCTCAAAAGGAGCCAGCAGCCTAGTTGGAATCCAAGGCAGCGGAACAACTCTGTTAACTGATCTAGGCCTGTTAGGGCCAGCCAAAGAATTCTACAAGCACAAGGCAAAGCCAAGTGCTGTATCGATACTCACCATACAAAAATTGCAAGGTAAGACCGATAAACGGTAGCGAGACCTCAGCTCATTTCACATACTAGGAAATGGTAAAACTTGCGCCTAATCCAAGTCGATGATTCACACCCCCAGAACGCCTAAAGGGTGAAAAATAAAATATATTTTTCTAAATATAGATTTATCTCCTGCACAAAATAATAGATTCCGCTTGAAATTAATAATTTATAACATGAATAGTCCCGAAAAACTACTTAAATGATTAAGTAATATATCGCTACGACAAACAAAGCAGGCAAAATATAGAAATGAGCCTGAAAATGTTCAACTACTCTACTCATTTAAGTAACAAGAATTTAAAAATAGACAATGAATCAAATGTGCCCATTAAATGGAAAAATATTGCTAATTGTGAAGCTAATGGTTCCCTTATTAAACCATTTGATAGATTCATTCGATATCTATCTTGATCACGTACATTTAACTAGTTTAACATATTGATTACTATTTGAATGCAGCACGCATTCCCGTTAACATTGGGAAACACGAAGCGAAGTACGAAAAAATGGATGAAAGACAAGTTTTTATGAAAAATGCAGTTTAATAAAGATCAAATATATGATAAACAGCTGTGAATTTAGGTAAAAATTTGTCATGCAGAACATGCATATAAAAAAGAACTACAAGATTTATTAAAGACAGACTCGATCAAATTCCTGATTGAAAAGCAGCCGACCCGATAACCCAGAACCCTCGATGAAATAGAGGCCTTATTTCTCAAATTTCACTACTACTATTCCTACAGTGTACAATTTTGCTTCTCTCTAATTCTATTTGTTTGGATATTTTAAGTTAAAATCCTTAAAAATTTTATTAAACGTGGAGCAAATAATCATATATAACAGAATATCACTACTGAACAAAATTCCTCAAGGAAAGAGAAGACATTTCAGCAAGGCAGTTACGCAGCAATATAAGAGGTGTAGATAATGTAAAAATTCAACGTAATTTGAAGACATTCATAATACATCAGTGCTATTTGCATGAATTAAGACTGATCTCAACAAGGTGCCCCAGTCAAGAGGGACCCACTTAAGATTACATGCAGCTTCGCATTATGCCATAAGCAATGTCCACTTCGAAGATTTTAAATCTAAATACTAGACCTTTCCCGAAAGATAGGAATCATAATTACTTTCCTCCCTACCTGATAGTTATAAGATTGGAAGTTCTACATGTTAATGACCAAATTCCACTTCCACATGATCAACCAATTAACTAACCAATAACGTTAATATAAACTTAAACCATTTCTGCTCCGATATATATATATATATATATATATATATATATATATATATATTCACAAACAATAACCCCAACTAGAGACAAACTGTGAAGAAACTGTTAACAGTACAAATTATGTAAAGTGAGACGTACCCTTAACAAAAACATGCCCCTTTTTGTCCGCCCTCAAATCCAATGCATTTTTTCTCGGCTTGAATGGTCGGTTTGAGGATTTTAAAGTTGCAGCCACAAATTCCGGATCCAGAAGGTCATACACTACCTCATTATAGATCTCTACAAAACTGACCCACAATACAAAAGCCGCACTCTCTTTGAAAGCGAAAGGAACATCCATGAAGGTGTCACCTGACAAGAGCCCTGAACCTTCGACCCCAATTGAAGATTGAGAATCACAGCGATTTGTTCCAATACTGGTACACGATGACAATTGCAACTACAAAGAATTTATATAAGGAACCTTCAGGACAAAGAGTGGGCATATAGGGGTAGGAAACTTACACTACTGTCATGGCTACGAACAAAGCGTAAAATGCCAGCCTTCTCCTTGCGTCGTTTTTCAGATTCTTGGACACTCAGCTCCTCAATTTCATTAAATCCATACGGAGCAAAGGGAAATCCGGAATTCACATCTTGTGCCCCGTCTGGCTGTTTCAAGAGAGTCGCACTCCGAAAAATAGACTCCAGTGCTCTAGGAACCATACCAGCATCGTTTGATATCGAGATTTTATAAAGATGCCAAATCAAATAACTCAAAATAATCACGATAAAGCAAAAGCACCCCGTTAATAAAGAGACATTCAACAGATTAGGCTCATTAAACTTCTTTTCTCAACACCCTAATTGCAAGCCGTCTTGACAACATAAAAAGGGTTAGATAAAAGTAAATAAACTTCCAATCTTCATCCGAAATCACTGCCTTGATGATTTCACAATTAAAATAATACACAACAGTTAACTGAAAAGGCGACTACCTAATCACCTCCATGCCTTCTTATCAAAATCAATGCATAATAATAATTGCAATAATATTTCAAGATTCCAGGTACAAATGAAGTGTTTAGAAGAAAAAAACAGGCAAGGGAAAAAAAATATGCGTATTTTCAAATCCTACATGAGCCTAACCAATTTTTCAGCGTTGAACGATTGTAACGAAATAGAGAAGTACTTAGGTTTAAGAAAGAAAACAAGTGAAAACTAAGATGTATCGTAAAAAAATAAATAATAGCAGTTATAGACCATCGAACTCATGCAGACACTGGTATCGTGGCAGAATGAAATTACAACCAAAATACAAAAAAGAAATAATATGAAAGAGACAAAAACAGGCAAAAGCAATAAAAATATACCTTGAAGGGAGTGCGTTTTTCCGGAGCTGGTGGTACCATAAGCGAAAATCAGTACATTCATACCCTCCAGAAATTCGCTCACGCGATCTAATAAGACAACTTTAAAAACGTCGCTTTGAGTAGCAGATTCGTCGAAAACTCGTGAGAACTCAAATTCATGAGAAGCCTGTCCAAAAGCAACTGGCGCAGCTCGAAGGCCTTTGTTTTCATTTGCAGGTTTTAGAACAACTCTTTTGAAATCAATAGGAATAAGAACTTTCTTTGTCGACTCGTTAGAGTTCAGTGGCCTTATGCGAAGAAAAACAGGCATTTGCTCCGATTTCGATATCACGGTACAATCTGTTTCATTAAAGTCATCAAATAAATTCCTATTTATTGCTTCGAAGTCGAAATTTGGATTAGAAATAAAAGATTCGTCAAAAGATCCTTCGAACATTTTTTGCGAATAAAAAACGCCACTATTTATTGTCCAAGTACTTCAAACCATAAAACGCACACTGTCTAGCGCAATAATATTCTAATGATATAAACAAAATCGCAAAATAATGTATTCATGGTTTTTAGGTAAGAAATTGTAATTACATATTTAACATTGCGTCCTGTATATTAAAATCTATGTAACGTGTTTATTTTGGTCTTATTACTGTTAAAATATATATCCTACAAGTTTCGTCAAACACGATGGTACCAAATTTGAGCGACAGTATTTTAGAATAAATCAAACCTCTGTTCTTACCTGTAATCCATATGACGTTTCTACATATTATTTCCCCATTTTGAAAATGACCCTATTTATTCAAATACCATTTCCAATAATGCGATTTTATTTATTTTATGCTTTTAAAACACATTGATGTCTATAAATTAATCCAGATAAAGTCTATTCTAACCAGAAGGGTCTTTATTACGAATTCACTGGGTTAAGCGTTTCAAATGCCGGTAAGTACTTTTTACACCAAACTGTTTTTTGTTAACTTGCTTTCAAATTCATGTACTACTATAAAGATCATTTCAAACGTGTGAAAACTTAAAAAAATTCAATATTTCATGACATTAACAATTTTTGATATTAACTTAAAAATTCAAGTCATACTACTTAGCAAATTAGTCCCCTTTGTAGCGGATTAGCTACCTCAATAACCTTGACTTTCTTTCAACTCGAAAGCCCCCGGGAATTAGCACGGAATACGCTTATTCAGTACGTATATTGCTTGCGACGTGTACACGTAGGGAGCTACTCATGATCAGGATGGGGGATTAGGTTAAACAGAGGCTGATGATTGGTCACTGTTTGTACGGCCGCACCTCCCAATCCTGGCGAGCAGACATGTGGGCATACGATGACGCACAGAGCGATAACGTGTACCGCACCTTCAAGCGTTTCCAATGAAAATGAATTAAAATCCGAAAACTGAGGGAACAAATAAAAATTTATCTGCTAATATTTGATAAAAGCAAACCTTTTCGATTTAATTTCTGTGAAAATCGTTGCCTTATATATTTGTGTTTTAATTCGCTTAAGCTTACTTTTGCCTCAAACTTAATCAAAACTTAGTGAAAAAAATCATATACGGTTGTTAATTAACCAATAATGTGTGAATATTATTACTATTCTCATTAAAATAACACACTTAATTATTTAACATGGGACGCGAAAATCTAATGGAGCTTGTATTTCTTTTAAATATATCTAGCCTAATTAGGATCATGGAAAACTATGCTTTGACTTTTCATAGTCTTTTATTATTTGCATTTAGATATAGGTGTACTTAGCTTATAAGCCTTTACTCTTTTATTGCTCAAATGGATATTGATGTGATGATAGTCAAAATATTAGGTTGGCAACTAAGTCATTGTCGATTTCAAATAAGAAGGCAAATTTGGAATTTTTGTTTAAAAATATAACTTTATTCAATTCGATATTGGCCATTCTTGTCGATGATCTTTTTCCATCGTTCTGGCAGAGTAAAAATTCCCCGTTCGTAAAATGTCTGGTCTTTGTTATTAAAAAGCTGAATTAGGTGTGATCCGACATCATCCGCGTTGTTAAAACTTTTACCATTTAAAGAGTTTTGCATGGAACGAAACAAATGGTAATCCGAAGGCGCAAGGTCAGGGCTATATATGGGGTGGGTGTGACAAAACATCCCAACCCAGTTCCAATAATTTTTGCTGCCGAGTAACCAAAGATGTGTGGGGCCTTGCGTTTTCATGATGGAAAACAACACCCTTCCGATTTGATAATGCCGGTCGCTTATCTTCAATTGCATCCTTCAGTTTTTTCGAGTTCTTCAACATACACATTTGAATTTATCGTTTGGTTCTGCGGCATGAGTTGAAAATACAAAATTCCTTTGTGATCCCACCAGACTGACAGCATAATCTTTACTTTGGTGAATCTCTGCTTTTGATACTGTTTGGGCTGGTTGATCTTGCTTCACCCATGATCTCTTGCGAGTAACATTGTTATAAACTATCCACTTTTCGTCGCCAGTAACTAGGTTCTTCAGAAATGGATCATTCTCATTCTCATTGCGTTTCAGTAGCGAATCACAGATGCTAATCCGTTGCGTCAAATGAATTTCCTTTAACTGGTGAGGGATCCATAAATCAAGTTTCTTGACATAACCAAGGGTTTTCAATTTTTTTTTCAATGCATGTATGCGACACATTGAGCTTCTCTGCAATATCTCGTGTTGTGCTGTGACGAATTGAATCGATAATGGCCTTGATATGGGTTTCATCCACTTCGACTGGGCGGCCAGATCGTTGTGAATTTTTCAGTGAAAAAATCACCGGAACGAAATCTTCCAAACCAATTTCGACACTGCCTTTCTTTTAAGGCTTCATCTCCATATACGGCACATAACTTCTTTTGTGTTTGCGATGCGTTCTTGCCTTTTCGGAAGTAATACAATAAAATGTGTCGGAAGTGCACGTCCTGTTCTTTCATTTTTAAATTGGGATAAAAACGAAACTAAAGAACTAAAAAAAATTTTTTACTAATTAACCTAGAAGCCCATACAGTAAGAAAAAAATATAGGTTAGATGCTCTGGCCACGTTAACAAAACAAAAGAAAGTATAGTGAATCCGTCAACAAAAACGGCAATGACTTAGTTGCCAACCCAATAATATCCAGTTTCAAGCCTGCTTTAGATGTCTCTTTATGTTTCTTCCATAAGTTGATGGGTAGAGTAAAAACTACTATTATCACGGTTTTAATAATGCATGGATTTCGCAATGATTTGTCGAAATTTATTATGATAGTGCTGGGGTGCGCGATAGACTTACCTCCACGTGGTGCACCCTGGACAACGTATCTTCGTACGGCAAAAAAGTCTATCACTCGGCATTAGTTTTGACTTCGATTTATTATGATTAGCTTACAACAAGGCTATAAGAGAATTCGCCCTCGTCAGGGCGAAACACAACGTCTTCAGGTCCTCCAGTGGAATGCTGGGTGGATGTCACAAGACAAAAAGATCCAAGTACAGAAAATCCTACAAACCTATTGGATTTTGAAATTTTCAATTATATAATTATGGAAGCAAACATTTAGGATGACAAACTGAAGTACTACCAATTCCCAGCTCAAATCTATGATGTAGACATTTTCACAATTATGGAAGCTATCATTTCGGATGACAAACTGAATTACTACCCATTCCCAGGTTACACCCTGTACCTTCTACCTAGCCACCAATTCCCAGGTTACACCCTGTACAATCTACCTAAATAACGGCGAGTTGCAAGTGGAATTCTAACTGGAGTAAAAGAAGGGCAAGTTGCAAGTGGAATTCTGACTGGAGTAAAAGAAGGCACCTCATACTACGATCTAATCAAGAGTATGGGCTCAACACAAGACATATGTGAAATAATCAGATTAAGTGCTTGGAAATGTCAAAACCACTTCAAGATATACGCAGTCTATAATCCACCCCAGAATTGTTCCAACTTTGACTTTCTTAATATCTCACACAAAACTATGGTATTAGGAGACTTCAACGCCCATTCCACCAGATGGGGCTACAAGGAAACAAACATAGCTGGAAAGGAAATCGAAGATATGCTAAACAGCAACCTTCTGGAACTTATTTACAGCAACGAGGATCCGGCTACATATTTGCACTACAATGAAACCAGAACAACTCCTGACTTACTCTTGGCTTCAAGCGACATCAGGGAGCTTATACGCCGCAAAATAATTGACGATCCTGGTTCTGGTCGCAAACCAGTCATCGCTAGTATTACCATCGGCAGCAAAAGCATGCCATGGAAAGTGCCAACCAAGCTATCATGGAACTTCAAGAAGGTTGACTGGTCTAGATTTACAAACCATTTAGACAATGAACTTCACACAAGTATCCTCAACTTCAGCCAACATCCTGACAAACTTTGCACTGATACCACAAATATCATGATTAGATGTGCAAAGAATCTATTCCTGAGGCAAGAATAAGCATTATCGATTGTTTTGGGTTAAACACCTTGAGGAAATTTAAAGAAAGCGGGACGCCCTTCGCAACACTGCTGATCAGACATCTGATCAGACTGGAAGAACGGAAGACGTACAAGCCTGGAGAGACGATCAGCTGTCCTAAGGCAAGCCATCTTACAAGCTAAACGGGCGTTCGACAAGTTCATCTCAAATATCAAGTATCAAAGTGATACAATCTTACAAGCTAAACGAACTTCCTTCGACAAGTTCATCTGTATCAAAGTGATAGCCAACGCACTTTCAAATTTCTGGGTAGCTAAACAACACAGAAAGACCCAAGAAAGAACCAATACGCTTAGAAAGAACCAATACGTTTAAAAAACAAACTGCTTACCGCTGACTCCAAAATAGTTAACTACTTTGCGAGGTTCTATTCCCACAAGCAAAAGAAACCTTTGCGAGATTCTATTCCCACAAGCAAAAGAAAAACCCTACGAGGTTCTATTCCCACAAGCAAAAGAAAAACCCTTTTGTTGACTCTTCAAGAGATATAAAGAAACAAGTAAGACAGTTTGGCACAAGCAAAAGAAAAACCCTTTTGTCAGAAAATCTTCAAGAGATTTCTAGAAAACCCTTTTGTCAGAAAATCTTCAAGAGATTTAAAGGCTTCTTGTAAGACAGTTTTGTGAAATTAAGGAAGACGCAACACCAATGTAAGACAGTTTGGTGAAATTAAGGAAGACATAGCAACGCCAAATAATGTACTTACTGAACCATTCAGATCTGACAACACCAAATAACGTACTTACTGAACCATTCCGACCTTGGACACCAAATAATGTACTTACTGAACCATTCAGACCTTGAAACTTAATGCTGCAATAAAACAGATCAAGTGCAAAAAGTCTCCTGGCGAAGAAGGTATTCATCCGGAATTTCTAATTAGAATGGGACCAACAGCCAAGGAAACCATGATGACGCCTCTCAACAAAATCTG